ACACAGCAAGCAATTATTAAATGTTCCATATGTTCCTAGTGCCGGGCTAAGCACTAGAGATACATCTAGAAAGGCCAAAACCAGTCCCTGCTCTCAGGGAGCCCCTAGCCTAATGGAGGTGACCATGGGCAAACTAAGACAGAGCGGGGATAAACTGGGTACAGTCACAGACAGTAGGCACCAAGATGAACAGGGTAGGGTGGGAAAGGTATCTTGCAGAAGGGGGAATTTTAGCTGGAACTTGAATGAAGCCAGAAGGAAGAGAAGAGAGGAGTAAGTATTCCAGACATGAGTGGTACCAGCGAAAATGTCCAGAGTCAGGAGCTGGAGTGTGGCAGTTAAGGAACAGCCAGGATCCCATTGTTGCTAGATCAAAGAACATTTGGAGCAGGGCTTAATGTATCATGTGCATTAGTGATCTTAAAGAATGCTTGGAGAGGGAACGGTAGCTAGTGCAAACATTTCACTATACTGAAGACAATGGCTCAGCCTTTAATCCTTTCTGAAGCAAAAAAAAAAAAATGCATCCTCATCAGAGCATCCTTTCTAAGACTTTTGACCAGTTTAAGGAAGGGATCAGGAATGTCAACTGAGCCCTTCTTTTTGGTGACTAGGTGTTAAATATGTGCCTTTTGGGATTTTGTTTTTCTCACACTCTTATAATGTCTGATGACTTTTTTCCCCACATTCCTCTTCTTCTCAGTTTGTCGTTATGTTATTCTAGCGGGTTTTCATTCATCAGCTTTCTATGAGTTTCTCTAAACATTTTCGAATCCATTCAAAAGAAGGCTTAGCTAGAATTACTGAAGCCCATTGAGAACAACGGGAATAGAGCACTCAGTTACTTTGTCAGGAATTTAATGATGAGCAACATTTTGACACTACTTTGGAGGAATATTATGATGTGTTTGCCGTGATGTGGCTGATGAGGCTGAGCCAATAGTACTGTGTATTTATGGCTCATCCACATTCCTCCTTTTGCATCCGTCATCTCTGGGCATGTGTATGCTCATGTACCTTTTCCCCACAGCCCCCCTGCTCCGTGGCTTTATCAAGGCATGGAGAGGGTCTTGGATTGTCAAAGTCCAGGAAGGGTGCTGGTGCCTCTTACCAAGACGCCAAGTTGTCAGGCCAGGTTTTTCTCCCCCCCCTGACTTCTTAGGGAGTAATTGTTCACGTCTAGGGACCAGCCAGGCTAAGTCTAGATGATTCTTGATGTGTAAGGGCTGCCCATCAAGGAAAGAGTTCCTTGACAAAGACCTGGGGCCAGAGAGATTGTGACATGCATCAGGAGCAGCCAGCATACACTGATGAAATCCCAGATCTCTGAAGCATTGAGTCTTCATATGCTTATACATACACACATATATATTTCCACATGTTTGTAGAGTTATCACTACCAACACTTTCAGGATCTGTGGTTTTATTAGGCGGGGACTCATTCTACCGGCACACCTGGCCAGCTACTTCTTATTATCTTAGAGATTTTCCTGAAGCTCATGTGGATTAAGTGACTCACCCAGGGTCAATACTCTAGGAAGTCCCATCTGCCCTCACTCTTATCCTCATTCCCACCCCACTCTCACTTTTTGTAATTTCTAGACTCTGTAGACAAATAGAAATATAACAAAACCTCCTTTTCAGCCTATCAATTATTTGAAATTACTGTCCTATTGCTTAGTTCTTGACTCTGCAGTCTGACTTGTGCCCTCATCTTTCAACTGAAATTGCTCTGTCCGTAGCTACCAAATCTAATGGCCTCGATCACCCTCTTCTCCTTGAAGTATCAAGAAGGTCTTTCAAGTATTTCTCTAGGTTTTCAGAGACATCTCTCTCTTTTGGTTCTCCTCTTACCTTTCTGGCTACTCTTTCTCAGTCTTGCTTGCTGCATCTCCATCCAGGACATGCCCATTGACCCTGGTGGTCTACCTAGATCCTCTTCTCTTCTTACTCTCTACTCTTTCACTTGGTGATCTCATTAGCTCTCATGGATTCAACCATTGGTGACATACAGATGATTCTCCCATAAAACAGAAGTGGATAGCAGAATGGATCAAAAACCAGAATCATATAATATGTTGTTTGCAAAAAACACACTTGAAGCAGAGAGACACATACAGAGTAAAGGTAAGGGGCCAGAGCAGAATCTATTGTGCTTCATCTGCTGTTAAAAAAAAAAGAAAAGCAGGGGTACCAATCCTGTTCTCAGACAAAGAAAAACAAAAATAGACCTAATTAAAAGATAAGGAAAGAACTTACAACATCTTGCTAAAGGTGCCGTAGACAATGAAGTAATTTCAGTTATTACACACTAAGTGATATAACATCCAAATTCTTAAAGGAAGAGTTAAGTGAGTTACAGGTTTATGAGTAAACAAGAGATAGAGAGCATTACAAAATGTAAAATAGATCATTTTGATTATGTTAAATTAAAAAGCTTTTTGTACAAACAAAACCAGTGCAAGCAAGATTAGAAGGAAAATTGAAAGCTGGGAAACAAACCTTTACAGAGTGTGTCTGATAATGGCCTCATTTCTCAAATATATAGAGAACCGAATTTATAAGAATACAAGTCATTCCCCAGTTGATAAATGGTCAAAGGATATGAGTAGGCAATTTTCTAATGAAGAAAATGAAGCTGTCTATAGGCATATGAAGAAGTGCTAAAAATCACTTTTGATTAAAGAAATGCAAATTTAAAAAACTCAGTTACCACCTCACACCTGTCAGATTGGCTAATATGACAGAAAAGGGAAATGATAAATGTTGGAGAAGATGTGGGGAAATTGGGGCACTAATGCACTGCTGGTGGATTTGTGAGCTGATTCAACCATTCTATAGAGCAATTTGGAACTATGCCCAAAGGGCTATAAAACTGTGCATACTCTTTGATCCTGCAATACCACTACCAGGTCTGTATCCCAAAGAGAGGATAAAAAAGGGAAAAAAGACCTACAGTAGCATGCATGCATATCTATATCTGTATCTGTATCTATATCTATATCTATATCTATATCTATATCTATATCTATATCTATATCTATATATCTGTATCTGTATCTGTATCTGTATCTGTATCTATATCTGTATCTGTATCTGTATCTATATCTATATCTGTATCTATATCTATATCTATATTTATATCTATATCTATATTTATATCTATATCTATATCTGTACATATCTATATCTATATCTATATCTATATCTATATCTATATCTATATCTATATCTATATCTATATATCTATATCTATATCTATATCTATATCTATATCTATATATTTCAGCCCTTGGGGATGCCCATCAGTGGGGGAATGGCTGAACAAGTTTTGGTATATGAATGTAATGAAAATGTAATGAAATATTATTGGGCAATAAGAAACTATGAACAGGCAGATTTCAGGGGTGGGGGAAAAAGGTCTGTAAGGACTGATGCAAAGTGAAATGAACAGAAACAGGAAAACATTGTACTTAGTATCAGCAACAATGTGTGAAAATTAGCTATGAATGACTCAACTCTTCTAAGCAACACAATGATTCAAGATAAGCACAAAGGACTCACAAGCAAAAATGCTATTGCTATCTGTTTAAAGAACTGATGGACTCTGAATGCAAATCAAAGCATATTTTTTTCATTTATTCTTTTTCATTTTTTTCTTTTGATCTTGTCTTTTACAATTGTGATTAATTTGAAATTATGTTCTACATGATAGCACATGTATAACCTATACAAAATTGCTTGCCATTTTAAGAAAAGGTGAGAAGAGGGAGGGAGAAAATTTGGAACTCAAAATCTTGCAAAAATGAATTCTAAAAATTGTCTTGACATCTAATTGAGGCAAAAAATAAAATGCTATTTAAAAAAAGAAAGACAAATTCAGGCTTACAACAGAGAGGAATCTGTTAAAATGATTCACTAGTCATGCATGTGCCCCTGGAAAGTGTTTCAGCCAATAATTGTAGATCTCAATTGGCTTCGACCATTTTTCAGTTGGTTGCCTCCCTTGATGTCACTGTTCTCTTCTTCTGTTTGTTAACATCACAGAAGCTTCCTTTTTTTCTCATTTGATCCTATTGTGTAGGATTTCTTATACAAACAATTAGAAACATTCCATGTCTTTCTTCAGGAGTTCTTTCTCTCCTTTTATTTATTTTTTACCAAGACCATGCAGGAAAATATTTGATTAGTATTGAATCATTTCCTTCTTTGCCGTGGTTGAATCTTTGTCTCACCACATCATTTGGCTTTGGCTTTCACTGGGTGATTAAGCACATCAAGAATTTCTGATGTGATTTTGTTTTCTGAATTAGTATTTTTTTTTAATGGTGTCATCTTTAATTGGGCAATATTGAATTAAATCTTTCTGTTGTGTGTTTCCAGCTAGATTCTTCTGGTGTCTTTCTACAGATCCCTAATCACTCCTTCAAATTGCATTTGCGTTGGCAGTGTTTGAAGACCTTTCTTCTCGTGATTCCTAGTGTGACAGTGGCCCTCACACATCCTTTGGTGTGCAGGTCCTGCAATGTTTTCATTTTTGTTTTTAAATACCTTCTGTCAGCTCCTGTGGGAGAATGTGTCCATTCTTCAGAAGCAGCTTTTTTTTCCTTCCAAATACTGTTGTAGTGTCGTTGGTCTGCGAGTCATTTTCATCCTATTAACCTAAAAACAGAAAACAAAACTCTCTTAAAATTGCCAAGTGTGGCCAGCTCTTTTTCAGAATGACTTGAGCTAGGTTCACAAGTTGGTTCCTTATTTCCTTATTAGTTATGATTTAGAGCATCTACTTTCAGTGCAGGTTTTCCTGCCTGGTTCTTGTGGTCACTCTCCAAATTTGGGAGCTCCTCTGTTTGCTTTCTGATTGCCTATACTCCAGGCTCTCTGAACCATAAGTGAGGTCTTAGCACAGAGTAGGCAATGGACACTACTCTTCATTCTGCATCTGCAAGCGTTGTACACAGAAAAAAATGCATATTCAAAATGGACTCATTTCTTTGCAGGTTTGCGGATGACTAAGGGTGCTGTAACTCCCCCCCACACTTCTCCAGCCAGTTTGCACATGCCTCAAGTCATCCAGCTGAAAGATATCGTCTGCTACTTGTCCTTGCTCGAACGAGGGAGACCTGAAGACAAACTAGAGTGTGAGTTGCCCATTTATTTACCTTATGTACGATGAGATGGGAAGGTGACAAAACTAGGGTGGATCCATCAGAGCTCTGTGGAAGGGTGCATGGATTTAGAGGGTGCTGGAACACTTATACTCCTTCAGACGGTAAAACCAAATGAAATCATTCCCCCATTCCCAGATTAATGCCTTGTTAGCAAGGATAATTCAACAAGACAGAGACCAGGAGCGTCGCTCCCTTGCACCGTCATTTGATCGGCTCCACAGACCTTCCCATAAGGATGCTTGTTAGCAGTGACCTTGTGTGTCCTGAACCAGCCGCCAGTGTCACAAGGACCCTGTCACCATGCCACTGTGTGACATCCAGGGCTACCTCCTTCTTCAGGGACATGCACAGCCTGAAGACTCACTTGTTCAGACCCATCTCCCCACTTGCCCTGGAAACCCAGGGTGCCTCAGACCGCAGGCCTGGTTCTTAGAGCTGTTCTTTTTTTTTTTTTCTTCAACATTAAGTTCTATAAGATTTTCAGTTCCAAATGTTTTTCTCTCTCCCTCCTCTCGTTCCTCCCCAAGATGGAATGCAGTCTGATATAGGCTATATATGCACAATCATATTAAACATATTTCCGCATGAGTCATGTTGTGAAAGAAGAACCAGAACAAAAGGGAAAAACTATGAGGAAAGAAAAAAAGAGCAAATAGTCTGCTCCATCTGCATTCAGACTCCATGATTCTTCCTCTGGATGTGGATGGCATTTTCCACAATGAGTCCTTTATGATGTCTTGGATCACTGTATTGCTGAGAAGGGCTAAGTCTCTCAGAGTTGGTCATCACACAATGTTGCTGTTGCTGTGGACAATGTTCTCCTGGTTCTGCTCACTTCACTCAGCATCAGACCATATAAATCTTTCCAAGTTTTTCTGAAGTCTGCCTGCTCATCATATCTTATGGCACAATAGTATTCCATCACAATCATATACCACAACTTGTTCAGCCATGCCCCAACTGAAGGGCATGCTCTCAATTTCCAATTCTTGGCCACCACAGAAAGAGCTGCTATGAATATATCTGTCCACTTGGGTCCTTTTCCCTTTTTTGTGCTCCTTTCAGGATGCAGCCCTAGCAGTGCTATTGTTGGGTCAGAGGGTATGCAGTGTTATAGTCCTTTGAGTGTAGTTCCAAATTGCCCTCCAGAATGGATGAGTCTGTTCCTAATTTCACCAACGATTGCAACTGTTCTGGAGCACCAGAATAGTAGCTCTGGGCCTGGGGGCCTGATGACAAGGTCTCATTCATCATGCTGATAGTCACCCTCAGTGCGGGCCGTGGCACTGACCCCACTCCTGGAACAGAAACGCCCTTTCCGGTGGCAGCTGGACTAATGCAGTCCTCTGAGGGGTTGGTGCCATTCTTGGTTCCATTGACCAGGTGTCCCAGACCAATGGGGAGAAAGCCGTGTGTCCCAGCAGCGATCCCGATCCCTGGGAGTCTAGATGTTTCCAGAGGCGTACCATCCTGCTTGCTCAAAGTCAGCCTTCCTTTGGAGGCGGCCAGGCTGGGCACCATCCTCCAGGGTGGGCCTTTGAAGCCTGGCAGCTTCTGGTGTGTGAGGAATTCTTCTCACCATTGACAGCCGGTTTCCCCCCCCCAGGAGCGCTGTCAATCCTGTGTCATGAGCCCTTCTCCCCCTCGCTGAGAATGTGAGCTAGCTAGCAGCTTTGCACGCCAACACCTCGTGTCAGCCAGGCACAAGTGGCGGGTGAGCAGGCGGGCGAGGGACGGTGATGGCTCTATTGGCTGCCCTGAGATCCAGACACTGGGGCGACAGTTCTGTTGAAGGCTGCTCTGTGTGGAACCTGCCTGGTTTACTGAATCAGATTGTCCAGCATTGACAGAGGAAAAGTCAGGAGGCCTAGACAACCTTGATGTCAACTGTAATGAAGGGTCTCCCTCTGGTGGAGAAAGAGAGTCATTGCAATGCAGTGTGTGCTTGGTACGTCTTTGTTTGGAAAATCCCTGTGTTTGGGAAATAATTCAGTGAGCCCTTGGCTCGTGAACTCAGAACTTGCTTTGTGTCTGAGTGGGTGGCCGACGGTCTTCTCTGCTACTCGCAGTAACTCCCCGACATTGCTGAGATGCCCCAATGCCCTGCCGGCGAAGTCAAGCGGACTTTATCCCAGAGTCCAGTGACCGCAGCGACTTCTCTCTGCAGCCATGAAGGAATTGCAGGGTCTTACAACGTTCCTAGTCTAACGGGAGCCCCTTGGGCGAAGCGGCTGCTTTGTTTTTGTATCTCTAGCTCCTGGCAGGCCCATAACAGGTTTGCTGATTTGGTGAAGGTGGAAAAGTGTTCTGGTGGATGGTTCCCATGGAAACACAAACAATTCCACCTTCTCCTCACTTTCTCGTCCCCGGGAAGGGAGGTCTCTTCTTCCCATCCTCTCACCAATCCTCTGTGAGGAGTCTGCCTGCCAGTAGGATAGCGGCTCTCCTTCAGAGTTCAGTGGGGGCATCCCAATAGCTGCCTGATGTATTGAGGAATTTTCGTTAGTCATTGTAGCCAAGTAAGAGCCACCTAACTGGATTATCTTCTTCTTTTCCTCAAATACCTGGTGTGTGTGTGTGTGTGTGTGTGTGTGTGTGTGTGTGTGTGTGTGTGTGTTGGACCATCTAAGCGTGTGTTTTGTGCTGAAGACAGTAAATCCTCCAAAGTAATGCATTTCAGCAAAAACTCATTTTCTTTCAATTTACAAACCATAGTTCTCTGATCTTCCTCCTGTGGGACAGTAGGCTGGCCAATCTGATTCAGGCCTTGGCCCCTCCCCAACCAGGTGAGCTAGGGAGGGTACTTCTGGCCTGTCTGGCCACTCAGGTCCCTTCTCCTTTTGAATCCTGTCCTCCTGCTTTTTCCTTCCCTCGTGCCCATCGCTGGCCCTCTGGCTGGCTGACGCTTCATTTTCCAGTGTTTCCAATGATCTTGTACTTCTGAATCCCCTGGGGATCAGCAGCATTCTTACCTTCACTCATCTCTCTGGTCCCCTCACTTCTCTCTCAGTCACAGTAACACTTTCGGCCTACCTACCCTCCCACTATTTCTTGGCTCAGCATCACTCCCCCAAGTACTTTCCTCAGTAGTTTTCAAAACGTGACCTGAGGACTCCTGAGGGGATCAGAACCCCCCCTTTCAGGGAGTCCCTGGAGTCAAAACTATTTTTGTATTAGTACTAAGGTGTTTGAAAATGTCTGATATGGTGAAAATATGTAAAAGATATGCTAAGAAAGCAGTTTGGGCTTCTCAGTGATACTGAAGAGTGTAAAGGGGTCCTGAGAATCAGGTTTCACACTCCTGGCTCTGTGCCATGTACTGCTAGCTTTTTTATCCCTTAAGATATTTTTTTATTCCCTCTTTAAACCATCTCTGTATTTAAATTTTTTTTAAACAACTTCTCCTACTTCCTTTACCTCCCATAGAGATTTTCATTAGGTTTTAAATGACTCCTTTAATCTCATCACTTAGTGTAATAATGATTGCCCTTGCATAATGGTGACAGCGCAATTATTAAGGAAAGCTTTTTTTTTAAAAAAATACATTTTGTGGTTGCATTTTTCTTGCCTAGGGATTAATTTCATTCATTAATTCATTTGCTCATTCAACAAGCATATTTTGAGGGTCTACTCTTTACAAAGAATATGCTGGGAACCTTGATCACTGGGTTCTTACTACCTTGTGTTGTAGGACTGAAATTATCCCCATTTTACAGATGAGGCAACAGAGGCCAAGAGAGGCTTAATGACTTGCCCTAAGCCACACAAGTAATAATTTTTAGGAATAAGATCTGAACCCAGATCTTCCCAGCTCCAGTTGAACCCTCCAGCTGCTGTACAGCTCTTCCTCTCTTAACAACCCCCAAAAGCATTCTCATGTCAGCCTTTCACACACAACACAGCAGAGACACAGAACTTAGCAGATGCATCACGGGAAAGATCTCTGTGTTTGGTGTCTCTTTCTTGAGTCTGTCTGAAGTTCAGCTACTCCACTTAGATCTTGCTTCTTCGGGTTGTCTTTCAATATGTGGAATGTTCTGGTTTGGCTGGTCTGGCTTTGTACGTCATTCTGCTAAAGCCTGTCTATGGAGCTTAGAATCAGTCAAGGTAGACTCTCCTCCTCTTCTTCTTCCTCTTCCTCTTTTTCCTCCTCCTTTTTGTCTTCTTCCTCCTCTTCCTCCTTTTCTTCCTTCTCCTCCTTCTCCTCTTCATCATTACCATCCTCCTCCTGTGCCTATTCTTACTCTTCCTCCTCTTCATCCCCCAAGAAACACTTATGTACAAAGACTCATAAGCACACACTGACTAATTCTTAAGCCATGAAACAGTAACCCATCCTTTGTATTATCCTTGAATACGGGGTCAATACTTAAAACATTAACAATTTGTGAACTGAGGAGTATGGAATGATTTGTTCACTACTTATTGGAGATTTTGTCTTGACATCGTATACATGCAGTCTGCGTAGCTCACTCAAGGTCCGTGGCTTCTGGCCAGACAGCATGCTTAGCTCATTGTAACGGCATTGGCATCTTTTCCCCCAAGAAGTTGTCATGAAGGTCATCTCCTACTGGGCAACCAGCAGCCAGACCCAGGAGTTTCCAGCCTCTTAAAATCGTAAAGTTTCTGCCAAAGCTCGGAACATGCATCTCAGGTCACCATTGGGTCACTCGTGCTCAGAAAAAGAAACTCAAAGTTGCAGAAGCTGCTCTGGGGCCGATGTTGCCTAACACTTGTGTTCATATCTCTTTGCTCTGTGAGATCAGCCTTCATAGTGGGAGGCCAGGAGGAAAAAGGTGAGATACCATTCTTCTCCTCATTAAAAGACTGAGGGGTTGAGTCCACAGCAACTAGTTCCAAAGAAAGGAAGAGAGGAAACTGTACTCAGCATCTGTCTGCCCACTGCCCCAAGGTTGGTACCAGGGCAAAGCAGAACAAGATTGTCTCATCTAGCCATAGCTTTATTCAATTCAGTGAAATTATGGGACTTGTCCAAGATTGCCCACATAGTTAATGCTAGGGCTAAGGCCATAATCCATATCTCCTGATGGCCACGAGAGTAAGTATCTCCTCACCACCCACCATACTACGTGAAAGAAAGAGCAGACATAATGTGGTGGGGAAGCTGAGAAATCTTCACTATATCAGCACCTGAAAATATTCTCCTGGTCCCAAAACAGATATAGTATGTCAACTAGGGCTTACTAAAGACTGTCAGATCTACGGAACAGAAGAGTTCTTTATGATCTAAGAGGGCACTGATAGATCATAGCCCTCCATCCATGACTCTCATTTCAATATGTATATGAAAGACTTTCAAAATAGAACAAGAAACTGAGTGGGAAGGCCAATGTGCTGTATGACAGCATCCAGATCCCGAAAGATTGACCATGTGAGAGCGAGATGAGCTACATGCCATCCCGGAGGTGTCTCTGCTTGTACCTGGAGCTCTTCCAAGGCTGCTTGCAATGAGTCCTGCTCAGCAAAATGAGCTTGCAGCCTAAGGATTTGTGGACACTTCCAAGAAGCAGTTCTTTTGTTCATCTATGCCAGAGACCTCAGAATATGAAATAGAAAAGAATTAAGATGGGAGAGCACCTTGTCCCAAGACTGTTTGTCCCCATACCCAGATGTAAAGGAAAGAGATCATACTAATGGAGGTGACTGCAGCTCGTACTGCCATAGGGCTTTGAAACTTTCCAAAAGGCTTTCTTCACAATAGTCCTGGGAGACACAGAGAATACGTTTGCCTCTCCCTGCCCCAATTTTGTAGATGACAAAGCTGACTTCCCAGTGACTCAGTGATGTGCCCAAGGTTACCCAGCAAGGCATGACAGGAGGCTTTGGAAGAGAACTGGGTCTTTTGACTCCCGAGGAATGTGTCTTCCCTCTTTATGTGACTAACGTATGTCTGCCTGCTTGTTTAACTATCTGTCTATATTCAAATATTTGCATACAGCAGCTTTATAGACACGTGCTTTATACATATATGTGTATTTATACAGATAGATGTATCTATACACATATCACTTTGTGCCTGTGTGCACAATGAAAATTATTTGGGGTATTATCTTTTATGTTTTATATCCTTATATACAAAGCTAGGGAGTGAAGTGGACACAGTACCAGTAAGGAGTCAGGAAGACCTTGGCCTCAGATACTTACTAGCTATGTGACCCTGGGCAAGTCACTTAACCTAGTTCACTTCAGTTTCCTCATCTATAAAATGAGCTGCAGAAGGAAGTGGTAAACCACTGCAGTATCTTTGCTAAGAAAGGCCCAAATGGGGTCACATAGAGTCAGACATGACTGAAACTCATGAACGGCAGCAATAGCAGGGGGGAGGGAGGAAAGGCTGAAGAGGGTGGATCCGCCCAGATGCCATGTGGAGTATTAAAGAAATCAGATGTACTCCATTTTGTACCTGGGCTCATAAACAGTTTTTCTCTCTCATCATTCCAGCAGTATTGAGATGGAATCTCGTCCCCTGAACACTCACTGAAACCATCATTGGGATAACTCTTGAAGTAAACAGTACTATGGAGCTGATCATTATTTCATACTGGAAATCCCAGCTTAAATGAATAAAAAACCTGAATCCTAAAATTCTCAAAATATAGTATTTTTCCACTATATGTGGTGGGCATTTGCCAGCATTCTCTAGTGGGCAGTGGCTTCTCTACAGTCACCATTGGAAAGATGGCGTTGCTTTGGGGATGTTGTGCAGACACATGCTTTCATTTGGCAGATTCTCTATAAAGTCTAGTCTTTAGAGTCAGGGTTCTTGGGCCACTGAGAATTGAAGTGATTTGTCTAGGGTCACACAGGCTGTGTATCAGAGGCAGGATTCAAACCCAGATCTCCCTGAGTAGCCACTAGGTGGCTCGGCCTTTCTCAGTATCAGTTACAATGTGGAGAATGCCATACATTGGTATGGGAGAAGACATGACAAAAATGAATAAAATCCTTTGTGCCCATGTGAATAAATGTACTAGGAGGCCCAAGTTGTTTCTATATTGAACAAATATCTGTAATTACATACCTGTATTTATAACTGGGCCAAGCTTACTTGAATCTTCTTATATCCGTTGTTGATAAATATCTGTCTGCCTGTCTTTATTCCCAAGTCTGCCCATCAGTGATCTGTCTACCCCTCCTCCTATTTATTCTGCTAAAACCAATCTCCCCACAGTCATGGCTTATCATAAAACACTGCAAGTCCGAGGTCTGACTCTCAGGGGAAGTTGGCTTCAGTGCCCACTCCAGCCAGGGCACCATCTTTATTAGACAAGGAGTAAGGCCTCAGAAATTCTTAGCCATGAAGCGATTGGCCCCATCAGTGAATTGTTGCAGTTCTATGTAGAAAATGTTTGCTGAGTCTAATAATGAGCATGTGGAGGATGTTTAATGGACTCATGATTTACATTTTAACAGCAGCATGCAATTTCTGTAATGGCAAATAGTTGGTCATACTGGTTTAATTGAAGCAACTTTGGATCATATTTTATCCAAAGTAACAGAATTGACAGTAACAAAATGCTTGTCTTTGGGGAGGTCTTAGTGTGGTACTTGAAGGACTGGGGCGGGGGGGTGCCTTGTTAATAAGCAATGGTGTGGTTGACTTAGCTGTAAAAGTAAAACCAAACACAGTCCAGGCTTCTTGGGCCCAGAAGCTGATGTCAGAGCTTCCCTGGCAGTTGGTGAAGCAGGGGATTCGTTATCCATTCAAACCTGTCAACTACAATCTTATCCAGTGATTGAAACATGGAAGGGGGAGCTCTTCTTTGATGCCCGTTAGGCCTTTCTACCTCACCTCTTTCAATTAGTATCCCTATTTTGTGGGTGAGGAAGCTGATGTCAAAGGGGGCAAGTGACTTGTTCAGAGACAGAGAGCTAATAAGTGTGCAAGGCCAGGATTTCTGATTCCTACTTCTGTGCTCTCTATCCTGGGCCACCAAGAAAAGCTGAGTTGTGGAGTGAAGCCAGGAAGATCCACCTTTGAGTCATCCTGGCTGGGGACCCTGGGCAAGAATTTGTCCATGTTCTCATCCTAGGGCTGTGAATTGCAGAGGAGATGCTGATGTGCATCAGTAGAGGGAGTTTTCTCACCACAAGCCATACAATCCTGGGCCCAGTCTCTGCCCCTCGAATTCTGAAAGAACTCCATAGATTACCAACCCATAATCATTCGGAAAGTGCGTACTGTGCCCCAGACACTGTGGCAAACCCTGGGGGTGCAAGTACAGAAGTCCCCAAAGAGTCTAGATTCTTCCTCATGGGATTTGGCCATCCCCACAGGGCTCTGATAGAGGTCAGCCAGTCCTCAGCCTGGTCTTGCCCATGAGCAAACTCAGAGCCCAAGAGAATCAGCCACATTTCCTTGTGGCCAGCGTATGATGGATGCCAAATAAATTGCATCTCTTTTCTCTTCGCCCAAGTCCAGCTGCTTCCCTGAGTGGAGAGGGCAGTGTTCTCCTTCTGTTGTCCTTTAGTTTCAGTTTTTTACTTTTTAATGATCCCCAAGAGTTCAGCACCCCCAGGACTCCTCAATAGACCGATGCTGAATATGGCAAATGGCTTGGTGGCTTCCTTAATCACCCTGATGGATGACAATTGCCCTTGGCTGCTTCCTTGGCCAGCCCGAGGCACGTTCACTGGGCTGGCTGTGCAGGTAGTGCTACCTAGAGGTGAATCAGAGTCAGCCTCTGAGGATGCTTCTATTCTTGCCTAACCTCTCCCTTCTTTTCTTTCAGTCATGTTCCGCCTCTATGACACCGATGGCAATGGCTTCCTGGACAGTTCGGTGATTGCAATTTTTTTTCTTTCAATTTTCCTTGATAACTTCAAAATACTTCTTTCTGAAGAGGCTGGTAATGTGCTTCTCCTAATTTCTATGTAAGCTTGTGCTTCTTGAGTCAGAGATCCAAGAAAGCAGCTGTTGGAGCCAGGTTATTTACATTGGGACACTGTGATATGAAACCATAGCATTTGACAAATCTGAGCCCAGCAGAGGGAGGGGGCTGACGGGGAGGAGATTATAAATTGTAAAGCACAAGGAACATGACATTAGTTTTGGAAGAAGAAAAAAAAAAGACTCCTCAGTTTTAGGAAATAACTAGTCAAGGGAGTGAAAGCTACTCAAAGCATCATAGTAACGTAGGTTTACAGCTGGAAGAAACCTTGGAAATCATTGGTTCCAACTCCATCTTTACCAGATGAGAAAAGCCAGAGTGGTTAAGGAATGTTCCCAAGGTCACTCTGCTAGTAAGTATCTGAGGCAGGATTTGAACTCAAATCTTCTTATTCCAAGTCTTTTCTGGGCTCCCAATTATGTACTTTTTGGGGGGAATACTAGATGAATATATCTGTTTTTAGAGCAGGCCCTATTCCATGGGAGGAGGCTGCAGGTCTATATTTTGTAAGCTCCAGTTACTTAAGAGGCAAATAAGATATTATAAATAGAAGAGACATACTCCTTCAGGTGATGTCGCCTCCAAATCTGTTAAAAAGGACCATTTTATTAGAATTGTGCCAAAATTACCCCCAGAGTTTGAGGAACCTCCAACTCAGTTTGGAAGTTTGTAACTGTTATCTAACTAGCTTTCCTAAGGCCTTGAAATTCTATGCCACCTGATCTCATGAAAGACTAAAATGCTAATAAGATGTTAAGTGTAGGATTATGAAAAGTTTGGAATGTAAAAGCCCACTTTAAAAAAATCACCACTTTGATCAATGGAACATTGATTCCACAAAGCATCCCCACATGTAACTTGGCCCCATACCTGCACGTCAGGCCCCTCGACAGAGTACAGATGGACTTTTACAGCAATGAAATGAAGTTGGAGACGTTTTTGCGTAAGGAAGGAGGAGGCTAATGGTGCATTAGTGATTCTGGAGACAGAACAAAGCCATTAATGAAAGGAAAGAGAAGACCTTTGGCTCAGTGAAATGACCACGATTATGAATTGCTTGTAATTGTGGAATTTTTTGATGTTTAAGTAGCAGAGATTTTTCCAGTGGCCGTCACTCTGGAGGTGCCTGGATGTCTTTCTTTGTTGTTCCATTTGGGAAGGGGGATTGTCAACTGCACAACTCTGGAGTTCTTGGGAGATCACTTCACCCATCCGCTTCATTCTATGGATGAGAAATGGAGGCTTAGGTTGGGGGTGTGATCTTGGCAGGATGAGGACCAAGGGCTTCTCTTGCTGCCAACACATGTTTGTTTTTTTGAAAGTGTCCCCCTAAGGGTGTTTCCAATGCCCCTGCCCCTCAAGGTCTTGAGTGAATTCCTTGCTGGGCTTTGAAGTTTGTAAATTCTCACAGGCTCCTGCATAGTGACTTTTTGCATGTGTCCTGCACACTAACCCTATGGGACAGGGTCTGAGGCTCCCAGGGCCAGGGCTTTATTGCCCTACCACAGGACAGGTGCCATCAGGAAAGGAACCATATCTTCAAGGGAATCCTGAAATGCTGTGTCTCTCCAGTGACCACAATAGTGCCCTGCACGCAGGAGCTGCTCAAGCTCTGATCATTGCAATGGTCACAATGCCCACTTTACAGATTGTGTCTCTAATACAGTTTGCTTGGTATTCATTTTGGGGGAGTCTTTGTGACCCTGGGCTGACACATAACCTCTCAGTGTCCTAAGCATCTCTCTAAGACTATATAGGGTGACAGGGAGGTGCCTCCTGCTCTGAAAGAGAGAGTGTCCTCACCTGAGAGTTCCCTACACCAATGTATTCACAGGTCCACCTCCTGTCCTTTTTTTTTTTTAATTCACATTTATTGGAATTTTGGTCCACAGAGAAACCACAAAAAGGAAACTCAGTGCAATATTTTGGGGTATTTAAAACAAACTAACTAACAAATAAACCATCAACAATAGTTGCAGTCAAATTCCAATACAGAGTTTGGGAAATTATGCTAAAAGACAACATTATAAATGACTTTCTTCAATCCAAAGTGCTGAATCATAGCAGACCAGCTTTTTCTTTCAAGTGCCCCCCTTCCTCCCTGTATTTCATAGAACCTAAAGGATCCCAGCTAGACCTCACTTGCCATCTGTCTCCATGTGACATGGTGGCTAGGCATACCACCTTGGCTTGAAGAATTCCAGCCAGGCTGAACCCCCCATGTTGTGCCACAGCCCACAAGTGGATGTCCCCATTCATTCACAAGGGGGTTTTATGTCCCCTGGGCAAGTCACTTAACTAAAGTGACTCAGAAGCTCTCGGTTGAAGCAAACTTTCCAGTTCCTGTAATGGGAAGAAGTTTGTACAATGGGAATTTTCTACAATATGAACATCACCAATCAGACCAAAACCAGAGAAACATATAATTGAACAAATATAAAAAGAACAGACCTTAAAAATACCTGTGGAGCTCCCTCAGGCCTTCAGACTAGGCCTGGCCACTATAACCATGCTCTTCTATGTTTTACAGAGGGATGGTGATAACTCTACATAGGCTAAAAAAATTAAAATACTGCTTTGGTACCGCGGTGAAACAACACACTGTTAGGAGGAATTTATTCTACTACTGACTGTGTAAGAATTTTAAGTTCATTAAAAATAAATTCAAATATTAGTTTTTACTTTAAAAAATTCTTTGTTATAAGGAATGGCTTTTCCAGAAAAAGAGACAGAGAAATAGGAGCAAATCTAGATGATATAAAAATAGAAGTTATCAATTAAAATTAGTGAAGAAGATATACTCAGAACTTTTCCATCATAACTTTCCTAATGATTTTTCAGCTTCAGGGTTATAAAACCTTCTGCAATCATTAGCATAGTAGGAGCAGCCTGAAATAGGGAGTAGAGGGCCAGTCTTGGAGTCAAGAAGACATGGGCTCCAATCCGGTCTCTGATGCCCATGAGGCCCTGGGCAATCTCCTGGCTAGATTTGGCTTTCAAAGCATTTGCGTTCAAGGGACTGGCTGAAGTTGAAGTAATAAGATGAACCCTAGTACTTGCTAAGCCTTAGTCTCTAGTCGGTCTTGCACACATCCAGGTTATCCCATCGCCAATAAGAACGCACAGCACACTTTTTTCAAGTGTCCCACCAAAATTAAGCCTGGCTCAGTGTCCTTGAAACATTCAGTCCTCTCTCAATCCGACACCTGCACGTCAAAGTCAGGTGGGAAGTAGAAATTCTCATGTGGTAGAAGTGCTTAGGGTGGGCCTGGAGCACAGGCATTCCTTTGGCACCGGAGAGGGCTCTCTTTTGGGGGCGGGGCCCTCTCTTGGCGTGAATGCTGTGCCAAGAGCTAAATCCTTCTTCCGGGTTTCCCCTTCCTAGGGGATTGGGGAGATTAGTATTAGATGCGTTATTTAAAAGGTCTTTAACATTCCTGGTATAACATGTCTACACGGCTAAGCAGGATCAAGGCATTTAATGCTTTGGAGCATTGGGGGTGGAGGGGTTGGCACCAAGAGACCATTGTCGTGTTTTTCTTTTGTCCCATCCAGGAGCTGGAAAATATCATTAGTCAGATGATGCACGTGGCTGAATATCTCGAGTGGGATGTGACTGAGCTCAGTCCGGTACGTGCCAAGTTAGCTGGGCTTACCCCCTGGGCACCTTTGTTTGAGAGCTGGCCAGGGTAGAGAGCTGCCCTCTGGCCCAAGGCAGGTCATCTCTATTGACCCAGCTTATTGTATGCCTGCCACCATTGCCTGTTCCACACTGTGTGTGATGCAGTGTGTGTGTGTGTGTGTGTGTGTGTGTGTGTGTGTGTGTGTGTGCGTGCCTGTGCACAGCCAGGCCACAGCCCTGAACAGGAGCAGCACCTGGGCCCACATGATAATAACTCAGTTGGTTTTTAACTTGGTCCTCCATTTTAATGTGGCCACCAGGGCTCTCATACCATCCAGGGTGCTTGGGGAGAGGCCAAGCCTCCTCCCAACTTCTGCTCTGAAATCAGTAGCCCCATGACAGTTTCTTCTGCCCTAGGAGATTCATATCATTCTTGAACAACTCTCTCAGCTCCTTAGCTGCTGCCTTGGTTGAACTGGCCTCACAGGACAATCCATCTGCTAAAATCGCCAAAGTTCTTTTCTGGATGGCTCCTAATGCTCTCACCCGCCCTGTGATGGAGGCAGCCTCAAGCCTATCATTGCCCTTCTCTCTGAATAGAAACCAGCCCTCAAAGAGCAGACTCCTCATCCTGATGTGGGGGGCTTTAGATGCCATTTACGTCTACTTTCCACCATGCCTGGAATGGTCTCCCTTCCCCTCATCTTGGCCCCTTGGCTTCCCTGCTTCCTTCAAGTCTCTGCTTCCTGCCCTGGGCAGGAAGCCTTGCCTGATCCTCCTGCCCCTAGCACCTCCTTCTCAGCTGATTGCCAATTTATCCTGTGGCTGTTGTGTTTGTACACAGTTGTCTCCAGGCATTTAATTGGCAAACAATAGGCACTTAATAAATGCTTGTTGTCTTGACTTAGTTTTCTCCTAGGCAACACTGCCAGACATAGAATAATGGGGTTTACAGAATGCTAGGTCAGGAAGGGACACTAGAGAATGCTCTTGTCCTGGAATGACCATTGGGGACAATGGTCACCCTGAGAGAGCCCCAGGCTAGCCATAGAAAATAAATGCATGGATAGGTAGCTAGGTAGAACCACAAAAGATGTGACATAAATAGACATTTATTAGGTACCTAGTATGTGCCAGGCTCTTTGCTAAGTTCTGAGGATAAGAATAAGAAAAAGGCATTTCCTGCCCTCAAGGAGCTTACAATCTAATGAGCACAGTGCACAAAAGGAAAGTGAAAAGGGAAAGGCTACCTTCCAGAGGGTACATGAGCAAGGCCATTATGATGATGGTAGAGTCAAAACCAGGCAGAACAGCTGGTAGCGAATAAAAAGATAGCTGGAATTTTGAACCCTCTATAAATCAAATTTAGCCTCAGACACCTTATTAGCTGTGTGACACTGGGCAAGTCACTTAACTCTGTTTGTCTCAGTTTCCTCATCTATAAAATGAGCTGGAGAAGAAATGGCAAACCATTATCTTCACAAAGAAAACCCCCAATGGGGTCATGAAGAATTGGACGCGACTAAAAACAACTGAAAAGAATGTTAACAATAAAGGCAGACTCTGGGAGAAGTAAAACTCCTCCCTCCAGGCCTCTAATCAAAGAGACAGACAACTGAGGCCACTGAGGAGGTGTGAGAGCCAAAGCTGAGGCCATCTCCATGATGATGAGCTTCCTAGAGATGAGCTTATCCTGGGGGGGTGGGAAGGAATGAAGATGTTGGTGGTGGTGCTGATGAAGATGTTGGTGGTGGTGCTGATGGTGCTGATGGTGATGGTGGTGATGATGATGGTGATAATGGTGATAGTGGTGGTGATGATGATGATGATGGTGGTGATGGTGATAATGGTGATAGTGATGGTGATGGTGATGGTGATGGTGGTGATGGTGGTGGTGGTGATGATGGTGATGGTGATGGTGATGATGGTGATGGTGATGATGGTGATGATGGTGATGGTGGTGATGATGATGGTGATGATGGTGATGATGGTGATGGTGATGGTGATGATGGTGATGGTGGTGATGATGGTGATGGTGGTGATAGTGATGATGATGATGGTGATGATGGTTATGATGATGATGATGGTGATGATGATGGTGACAATAATGGTGATAGTGATGGTGATAATGGTGGTGATGGTGACAGTGATGATGATGATGGTGGTGGTGGTGATGGTGATGATGATGGTGATGATAATGATTGTGGTGGCGATGATGGTAGTGATGGTGATGATGATGGTGGTGATGGTGCTGGTGATGATGATGGTGATGATAATGATTGTGGTGGTGATGATGGTAGTGATGGTGATGATGATGGTGGTGATGGTGATGGTGATGAAAATGTGGTGGTAGAGTTGAAACCAAGCCAAGCACCTTGAAGGTGACATATGCACTGTGCTGATACCTCCATACCTACTTTTTGGGGTATCCTAGGATTCCCAGGAGAGCCACATACCACACTTCCTGAACTTCAGTATTAACGGTCAAGAGACTGAAGAGCTGAGAGTCATGGATGCCATAGTTCAAACCTCAGCTCAGACATATACTAATTCTGTGACTGAGGGGTGTCCTACAATGTCTCAGAGCCTCAGTTTCCTTATCTATAAAATGGGGAAGTAAATGCCCCTAGAACATTAGAAAAGGGTTGTGGCATGACTCAGATGAGATAACATTCAAGAAGCACCTTTAAAGTATAGAAATGTCATTTATCATTTCATTATTTTTCTTCTTGTTCACACCTGTGGCCTCTCTCCAAGCCGAAGCTTGGGAAGCCTCCTTTGCTCACAGGAACTTCTCCAAGCATTTCTTCTCTAGCTAGAGCCTTTGTTTTCCAGATGAGGCCAATGAAGCTGGTGACCCAGACAAGACTTCCCCTCCCCCCCAGTTGTTCTGGGAGCCAATGCTGGGCTCAGGTCCCAGAGCAGTCCCAGCTCTCTCAACTCTCCTCTGGTTGCATTGACCATTTTCCTTCACCTGAGTGCCTGGGAATTTTCTTAGGTTTTTAACCCATGTAGAAAGTAGACTTTAGAAATACTGCTAATCAATAAAAATGGCAGATTTACCCAATGTTAAGAGAAGTATTCAACTCCTCCCACTTATTGTCATTGTGACCATGGGCTCTTGTTTGATGTTTCTGAGTCTTGGCTTTCTGATCTGTGAAATGGGAATGAAAATATTTGCATTGGCAATCTCTGAGAACTTTTGTGAGCCTCAAATTTTGGATCCTCTGGGTAGAAGGTCACCTAGTCTGAGCTCCTCATTTTATGGTTAGCCAGTGAGACCCAGGGTGGCTGAGTGACTTGTCCAGGGTTGCGCTGAGTTGCACCCAGACAGATTTGGGATTCAAACCCAGATCCTCTAATCCCAGAGCCCCAGGGAACAAGCCTGGGTTCTCCCAATGGAGTGCCCTTCCTACTCCCCTGGTGGGATTATTTGTGTGAAAGTGCCCAGAACTCTTCCAATCACTGTATGTCAGGTGCTGGTGCTCATATTATGACTTTTATTCTGGGGCAGAACTGTGGCCCTGATTAAATCAACAACCCCAAAGAGGTGGACAGAAAAGGAAGCAGGGAAGAGAAATGTGGCCTTATCCCAGGATTCTTTGAAAGAGGTACTAGTTCATTAAAATTGCCCTGTATACATATGTTGATTTTTGTCCATGGGATGTCTTTGAAAAATTCAGGATGTTAGGAGTGTTTCCCCCTAAAGCAGGAACTTGGGTCCTAGTGAGTGTGATGATGCAATGGTGGACCTGGAGTGGAGAGATCTGAGTTTAAATCCATCCTCAGGTACTTTCTAGCTGTGTAATCCTGGATAAATCACCTAAACTCCCCTGGTCTCAGTTTCCTCATCTGTAAAATATGAATAATAATAGCTCCTGCCCCACAGGAACCAACTGTGCGGAACCAATGAGCCAACCGTGTAAAGTGGTCTGCCAACCTGCAAGTTCTGTATAAATAGTGTTATTGATTTTAGTTGTTATGATGATTCTGAAGTATGGAACTACAGTTGAAGTAACTCTCTCTACAACTGCGTAGCAGCAATTCTTTCATAGTTTAGATTGGGACATCCAGAGGGCCCCACAACCAGCCTATGGTGGAAGAATTTGGAACTCAGTCTTCCTGTCTTTGTCCATCTCTGTACTCCCTGTGCCCTGCTGCCCCTTCATCATCCAGAAGAGAAGAGTCTGAAAGCATAGGAGCCCCATTGACACTGCCAGATTGAAAGCCTTCTTTTTATAGAGAAGGGAGCTGATGGCTGGCATTGAGGACGGCTGTCATGCCCCATCAATAATTAAAGATTCCTCCAGTTTTACAGACTGTGGGAATTAGAAGAGAGCTCCTGCTGATTCTTTGTTTCCCACTGCTTCCTCTCCCCGTGCCAACTGTGAGATAATGGGCAAGCCACTAACCTTCTGGTCCAAGCCTTGGAACCCTCCAAAGACTAGAAGAACAAGATGAGCTGGTGATGGGAATGGGGAGGGGTGCTGATTTGGGGGGACCTCCCCATGCTTGAGCTCACACATCCAAGACCCAAGCTCATGCTTGAAGGTGAAACTGTCCTGACTTATCGTTAAGTCCCAGGGACAAAGTTCAGCCTGAAGTCACGGGAGGGTTTTTAGGGATCCAGGCCCATTTTCACAGGTCTGCAATGAGAGTTGCTGTCTCTATCCCACTTCCTCCTCTTTTTAGTCCTTCTTTTGGAGGCTTTTTCTGTTGTTTTAACTAAACAGGGCATTTCCTTCCAAAGCTGTTCGGCTTTTCATAACAAGATGATTTTTTGCCCTTCCCTAAGATACATCATTTATGTTGACAAAGCACCATGTGCTTGGTGGGTTGGTTTGTTTTAGGACTGGCCTGGAATATTCCCAATATTCCCATCTCTTTCATTTGTGAATGTACCCATTTATTGCATACAGTGGGTATAGACAACCTTTGTTGAATCTTAAATGAAACCTAGCTCTGGTAACTGGCCTGCCTAAACCCAAGGGTCATGGATCCTTTGATCGGCTCACCCTTTTCTTCTCCTAAGACCTAATAGGTGAATAAGTGACCCTCTGTTTTCTTGTTTCATGGATGGTCAGAGAGAATCTCTCCAAGTCTTTACTGCTAAGCTGTGAGATCTAATGCTTTCCAGCATATCCCTGAGCCTTACAAGTAATCTGGATGGATGGATCACTAAAGCCCACAGGGGAATCGAGATGAAAACAAACAAACAAGTTTCCTACTGTGTCATTGCTGGGCTGGTTCACACTTGAGTACACGGTCATGACATGTGATATGTCAGACAGTGTCATTTTGGTCAAATTTCATACTACTGTTCTTTAAAAACAGAGGGATTTGGGGGGGCTGCCAGATAGCTGTGAGCTGACTGACCCCCGAGTTCCATTTGAATTTATATGCATAGCCTTTCTGAGGGGTAGCTCTCTCTAAGTCATTGGCCTCTCCTAGCGGCATCCTCCCCTAGGTGTGGCCTTCCTGAGACATGGACATCCTTAGTCACAACCTTCCCTCGACCTAGCTTGCTTTGCTCATCTGGTGCTTCCCTGTAGATGATCCCTTTTCCTGTTTCTCAGTGTGAAATTCTGTTTCCTGGTCTTCTCTCCTGAAACAGATACTTCATGAAATGATGGAAGAGATCGACTATGATCATGATGGCACTGTCTCTCTGCAGGAGTGGATTCAGGGAGGGATGACGACCATCCCCTTACTGGTGCTCCTTGGCTTGGAAAACGTAAGCTTTGGTCCATCGGTGGCTGTGGTCCAGCCTGGCTCAGAAGCATCTTGCACTGGGGCTGCTGGTATTCCGAGCTGGGCTCAACCTCAAAGAGAGTCCTGTGGGGTGGGGATCTTTGTGTCAAATATCAGACTAATTTGGGATTCTGGTACCCTCTGTTCACTTTCATCTCCTTCCCTTTCTCTTCCCCAGTATATTTACGTGTTCATCAATGATATTTGTTTTGTCTGGGTCTATGATTGCACCACTGTGGGATGGTAGTCGCTGGTGTGAGAATTCTCTACCAGAGGAGATGAGTGATTAAACACAGAACTTACCCTGGCTGTAGGTCAGCCATTGTCAGAGGCAGCACCACTCATACCCACCCTCGGGCCCCAGGCCACATGTCTACCGCATCCCTGACATCAGCAACTCACTGTGGCCAGTCACTTTAAAGTTTACACAAAAACTACTGTGCCATAGGAGTAGAACTCCATCATCTGGCCGATTCCAAATATGAGGAAGGTCATTCAGGCAGAGGCAGTTAGATGGATCAGTGGATACAGCTATGTACTTAGAGTCAGGAACACCTGAGTTCAAATCTGGCCTCAGACACTGATTTGCTATGAGGCCCTGGGCAAGTCACTTCACCTCTGTTTGCCTTAACCCACTGGAGAAGGAAATGGCAAGCCATTCCAGCATCTTTGCCAAGGAAACCCCATGACTAGCATGGTCCACAGAGTCATTCCTCAACACTCTCAGCCCCCATTGTTCTGCCTTTTCATGCCCTAATAATACAGCACTATCTACTGTCCCTCATTAGCCCAGCCTTGTGGCTCTCCTGGCCCACCCTCAAAAGGTCACCACGGATGCCTTAACTCCAAAGTCTGGTGGCCTGTGCCAAGTCTTCAGCCCACTTGCACCCTCTTCAGCCTTCAGCTCTGCTCCCTCTTCTCTTCTAGCCTGTCTCATTATTCCTTTAGAGTCCCTTGGCAGCACCAGTATCTGTCTCTTGTGCCCAGAATGGGATGTGGGGGTCCCCTCCATCTCGGTTCTGGGCCCTCGTGTCTTCCCCATGCATGATTTCTCCCTTGATCGTCTCTTCCTCACCCATGGCTTCAGTGATCACCTTTTTGCAAGTAACTCCAAAATCCAAATGTGTGGCCTTAACCTCTCTCTTGAACTCTAGGCTTGCGTAACCATTCCAACTGGAATGACCCCCTGGAAGTTCAGACTCCATGTGTCCCAGGTGGAGCTCCTCCTCCCCCTCCCACCCCACCCCACGGTTCCACCCAGCATGCTTGTCTTTGCTGAATGAGCCTCCATCCTCAGTCACCTCCTTTGATTGCCTTTCAGCCCCCCAACTTGTCTCTCTTCTTCCCTCCTAGCCTGTCGTTTGCTGAGGCCCACCAGTTTTCCCCACACAGTGTTCCTGTTCTCCATTTCCTTTTCTGTGCTCACCCAGTGCCATTTTCATGGGCTCCTCATCGGTCTCCCCTGCTCCACCTCATTCTTCCAACAGTCTATGGTACACATGAACAGGAGGGACCCATTTCACTGCCTCCTCTCAGACCTTCAGTGGTTCACTGTTACCCCTGGAATAAAATACAAAGCCCTAGTCTGGACATTCAGCCACACCTACAGCTAGGCCAGAGCCTTCTTTTCCAGCCTCATTTCATGTCACTGCCCTATGCATTCTCCACTTTCCAGCCACATTGGACAGCTGGCTGTTCCTCAGTCCTGATATGCCCTCACCTGCCTCTGGATTTTTGCAGAAGTCATTTTCATGATGTGGGATTAACTGTCACTAGTTCTGCTTTTACTCTTGCTCATATTCCATCAAGCCTCTGCCTCAGTGATGCCCTCACTTCTGTAAAGACACCCTGATCCCCCAGTCATCTGTCACCATCACCCTCTGCCTTCCTGCACACTTGTCCAGCTGCATCCTCCGTCCTTTCTTAGTACAATGGAGGCTCTCAAGCCCATAGACCGGTTTTGTTTAAATGTGCAATGTCTAGGGGAGCTCGGGCATTTCTCCAGCATCCCCAGCTCTTAGAATTCATTCCTCAGTTAGACTTTGGACAGTGGAATAGATTGACCCTACATGAGGGTGTGAGCGAGTGGTTTACTGACTGAATATATGAATAAACACGTGAACAAAAAAGCATCCGTTAAGCACTCATCATGTGCAAAGCCCTGTCCTAAGCAATGAGAAACTAAGAGAAGAGGGAGCTACCTACACCCATCATGGAGCTTATGTCCTAATGGGGTTGGGGTGGGGTGGGCAAGACTTCACAAGTTAGAGTTTAGCTGCAGGGTAGATGTCAAGATCCAGTGGCCCTTGGCCTACCATAGCAGGGCAGATGTGGAGAAAAGAAGGAAGGAAAACGTTTATTGAGTGTCTACTGTGTGCCAAGCCCTGTATTAAGCAAGTCCCTCACTTGACCTTCACAACAACCCTGTGAGGGGGTGCTATCGTTATTTCAATTTTACAGAGGAGAAAACTGAGGCAGAGAGAGTTTAAGTGGCTTGCCGGGGTCATAGAGCTAGGAAGTGAGGCTGGATTTGAACAGGTGGTGTGAGTGTTCATGTGTGTGTTCAAGGGCAGGAGGGCCCAGGCCTGCAACTCTCGGGAAGGGCTAGTGGTGCTGAGAGTTGGAGTGGAGTGGGCATGCTGGGCTCCCTCCAAGGGGCATGGGAATGGAGAAGTGCCATCATTAGGAGGAGAAGAGGGGTGGGGAGTGGTTAGGAAGGTTGGGGGAGAGGATCTGGGGATCAGTGGTATCGAGGCAGGAGTTAGGCTGGTGCAGAGGGAGGGCTTCCCACCTCCTAGTTCGCACCCAGATCTGGGAAGCTAGACCCTGCTGAGCCCTTCCCGATGGATGCTTCTTAGACTCTGTGACTCTGTGACTTGAAACTACTGGGTTCTGCACACTGCAAACGTGGCTTCACACTGTGTAGAAAAGTGTGATTCAGACCTACAACTAAAGGGCTTTACTTTGAATATACATAAGATGTAAAGTCTCAGGTGTTGCTTCAATGACCAGCTGCATAATCAGGAGACAGGAAACACGTCTAGATGGACTTTTTTTTTCTGAAAAGAATCTGACAGTTCTAGTGGACCACAAACTCATGATGAGCTGGCAGCTGGACAAACTCATTCAAACTGGGCTCCGTGATTAATAGTCAGGATGTCCAGAACTAGGAGGTTAATGGGGCTGAGGTGCTTGACCCATGGGGATCTCCTCACCTACCCTGTGGTGTTTGATGAGTGTTAGGTACCCCCAAATAGCAACAGCTTTGATGAGCTGGAGGAGTCCCGAGGGTGATCTTGAGGTACAGAAGGGCTGCAGGTACCTTCTGTCTTAAGGGGCAATGTTATGTATTCCTCAGTTGGCTCAGTAATTCGTGATGTGAGAATTATGCAAGATATAATTAGGACAAATATAAAAGAATTAGGATGGAAAATAATCACAGTGACCCAGAAGTGAAATCTCAGAGGCGGATGCCACCTCGGGAGTCGCCCTGCCCAACTGCAGGATGTGGGGGCCCAGGCTCTCCATCTGGCTGTCTCCTTCCCCATACAGGTGAGGAAAGGGAGCCCTGGGAGTATTCATCCTCGCTGGTGGGGGGGGGGGGCAGAAGGAGCTTCACTGCTTATAGAGGAAGGATTCTGGGAAGCAGCAGCAAAGGTCAGGGGCTTTGGGACGGGCCCAAGGAGGAGAGGACAATTAGTCTGTGTGTGTGTGTGTTGGAGGGGATTCACTGGTCTCCCTAGGCCCAAACCTCCTTTACTCCACTCCTTGACCAGCGTCAGCTTCCCACTTTTCTTGCCTTCTTTGGATCTTCTTAGTAGAGCGTGTGTTAAATTTGGTCTGTGCCTTAAAATTCCCCACCCTGGAGCAAAGTGCTGGTGACCCTGGCTGAGTTACAGCCTTTGTTAGTTTAGAGCCCAGGGAAATTGTTGAAGACTCTGAGGATGTTTGGCCTGGAGAAGAGTTGTGGGGGTGAAGGCAGGAAGGCAGCTAGCTGCCTTCGAACATTTGAAGGGCTGGCAAGGGGGAGAGAAACTGGAACAAGGGGCTTGATGTTCAGATGAACTTGGTCAAAATGGGGGCTTTCCATAACACGATGGGCTTCCTGGGAGGGGAGGGGGAAATGCCCCTGCATGGGAATCATCTGATCCAGGGCTGAATGGACAGGCCCCTGTTGGGAAGGCAACCGGGGATCCTCAGAGTCAAGGATAACATCGAAGGGATTTTTGATGAGCTCCAGACTGGAATTGATGGCCTTACAGGTGGCTTCCTCTGAAATCTCTGATTCTGTGATAAATGTAAATGTACCCTCACGATATGATCAGATTTCTTTCTCCCTCAGTCTTCAAGTCCCCTCAGCCCAACCTTCTGCATTAGCTCACCCCAACAACAGCAGCTCCTGTGTCTATAGATCTGGACAGCTAGAAAGTGTATTCTATGCATTACCCGAAATCCTGATATGGCAGGAGGGAATGTTGGAATATTTAGGGAAGAGGCAGGAGAAAATTCCAACTCAAGTGTGGACAATGCATAACCCTCAAAGAAAAGGAAAACTAGCAGAAGTGGTCTTAAGGTGATCGGATCCCACACTGGCAAATGTCCCCAGGGAAAAACAAAACAAAACAAACAAACAAAAAACAATCCTGCCTCTGGCCATGGTCCTGGTCCTGCAGCAGAGACACCCTCAGTCACCTTCTCTAGTCTGAGGGTCCCTGTGCTGCTGTGGCTGCTCATTTCATCTGTGTGTGGCTTGAGCAGCAAATGAATTATTGAATTAATATAAAAATATTTTGGTGAAAAGTCTCAAGACAAAGCCTTATAAAAGACAGATCTCACAAGACAAAACCATAAGCCTTTTTGTTTTGTTTAATTTTAAAGTTGGCACCACACCTGGAAAGATAGTTGTGGGTTCTCACAGGCTCAGGGGAACCAAATCACTGCCCATGGAAACCTCCGGTTTGGTAAAACGTCATGCACATCTGG